CGAGGAGGATGAAGAGGAGGAGCAGGTGAGGGGCTCGGGTGCTGCGGAGCTAGCAAGGCCGTTTGTCCGACCGCTTCTCGATTTATGCGTATTTTGGAGACGACAACCAAAGACGTTCTGACGCCCACACGCGTAATTCACGGCGCCGACGCCGGCGCTCTTTTCAGACCCTTGTGCGGTCTCAGCAACCTGGCAGGTCTCCGGCGACCGCCTGCGCCGTGCCCCCACCACCGGGGGCTCAGCCAGCACCCCACACGCGCAGAACAGCATGACCATGACCCCCGCCCGCCCCACGTTTGACGCGCCTCCCGCAGCTTTGAACCCCTCCGCCCTCACCTCTCCACCCCAGGGGCTCACACTGGATGAGTACGAGGCGGCCAGGAAGAGCCGCATCGGCAGCGCCGCCGGCGCCGCCGTTCCGGGAGGCGTGCGGGGCACCAGCGGCGGCGGCGGCGGCGGCGGCGGCGGCGGCGGCGGCGGTCGCGATGGCGCTGGGGGAGGCGATGACCTGGCGGCCGCCCTCACGAGCACGAGTGCGGATCAGATGCGCAGCGACGAGGAGCTGGCGCGGGAGCTGCAGAGGCAGATGGATCTGGAGGAGCAGGGGGAGCCGCCGGCGGGCGGTTACGGCGGCGGCTACGGCGGTGGTTACGGTGGCGATTACGGCGGCGGTTACGGCGGCGGTTACGGCGGCGGTTATGGCGGCGGCAACGGCGGTAGAGGAGTTGGAGGGAACGAGGGACGCCAAGGCGGAGGGGGGCGGATTGGGTTTGGAGCCCGGGGCGCCAGGGGCGGCGAGGGAGCGGCTTACTGGCATGGCTACAGCGGCGGCGGCGGCGGCGACAGCAGCAGAACGGTCAGGGGCGGCGGTGGTGTCGGCTTTCACCCGGGGTCCAGAGGCGACGGTTTCGGCAGCGGCGCCGGAGGCGGGGCGTCAAGCTACCGCGGCGGCAGGCATGGCGGCAGGGCTGGGTACGATGCTGGTGGTGGTGGCAACCGCGCCAGCTTTGGCGGCCGTGGTCATGGCGGCCTGCGCCAGCAGCAGCAGCAGCAGCAGCAGCAGCAGCAGCAGCAGCAGCAGCAGCAGCAGCAGCAGCAGCAGCAGCAGCAGCAGCAGCATTCTCTGATCTCTGATGGGCAATGGGGAGACTCAGGTCAGGAGCAACGCGGCGGCCGCGACACCGGGCGTGGCGCGCCGGGAAGCGGTGGCAGCAGCAGAGGCGGTCCGAGCAGGGGGCGGCGGGGCAGACCGTGGTAACACACCTCGGCTTCATTGATCACGCTTGCATGTGTCATTAGACACAGAAATGCTCATTCATGAGTTCCTTAGAGTCACAGCTTTCCTGGTTTTCCAGATGTAGGCTGCGCACCTTGCACCGCTGGCCGAGCAGCAAGGGGGCCACGCAAGCGGGCGCACAGAGCCTGCCAGCACGGCGCAGCACCCAAGGTAGCAGCTGCTTGGCAGCTGCGCAGACGCAGCATCTCTGCGCCGCGGCCTGCATCTGCACGTCCTGCTTACCCAGCAGCTTCTTGTGATGGTCGAAGCAATTTGCAGGAGGCTCCGCTGCTGTTGACGCGTGAAGCCCTTGTGATGCTCACTGAGCATCGTCTCTGAATGGCATACAGATCGCAGCCACAGCCACAGGCACACTTTGTCATGAGCATCCCCTACTACCACGACACCGCCGCTGCGGAGCAGCGATTGAGCAGGTGCGCGCATGCGCGCATCTTGCTCATCAATGGCGAAAGGGCAGTGCTGGCACAAGCGCGGAGCGAGCCAAGAAATACGCATCACCTCGCGTGCTTTGCAGGCCCGCCAGGCGGCACGTGAGTGCATTTGCCGATCCCTCGCAGCGAAGTCGCGCAGCCGGGATTTGCAAGGCAAAAAAGGGGATCAAATGAGTAAAAACATTGATGCCCGACCAGGCGCCGCGACTAAATGCCGCCAGTCCCGCCGACGCCGCCGCCGCCGCTTCCGCCTGATGCTGCCCGCTCAGCCTCCCCGCCGCCAGGGCCGCCGCCGCCGCCGCCGCCGCTGCCGTCGCCACCATAGCCTGGCCCTGCGGCCGGCGCCTGCGCGGCAGCTTCCCACAGGTCGGCCAGATCGTCATATGAGATCTCATCCCTCTCCGAGCCCACTGCCGCTGCTGCTGCCCCATTGGATGTGCTTACCACCTCCGCCGACGAGCCGGCGTCGTGGCCGCCATCCAGGCCCCCGGCCAACACACCGCCCGCTGCCCCGTCGGCTGCCGACGAGGCGGCCGGCAGGGAGGGGCCCCTGGTGACGTCATCTGACGTCAGCAGCGGCTGGTCCGCGAGGAGGCCGAAATTGAGGTCGGGCGTCATGAGCCGCTGCACCACCACATCCCTGCTCGGGTGGGAGGGAGGGGGTATGGGAGAGGGATTTGTCCCAGAGGTAGTTGGTCGGTCGGCTGAGGCTGTGGAGCCGACCGTGGTCATAGTGTGGGGGTCTATCAGGCGACGAAAGACCCCACCTGGGGCCTTGAGGACCAGCAGCCTTCGCCCAAGGCAGCAGCGCGCTGCATATCTGTAAACACCCTTGTTCTGCTCCTGACACATTGGAAACTGGGTGAGGTGCGCGCCGCGCACCTGTACGCGCCCAGCAGGTTGAGGAACAGCCTGTTGCCCTCCGTCCTGAACTCGTCCAGGGGCTGCGCGTTGCTGTAGGCCTTGAGGCCCACCGCCTTCTTCACCTTGTCCATATCCTGGGGTTGTTTTTAAGGGGGGGTGGGGGTAAGGGGCCGGGAGGTTTTGAAGGAGGGTTGGTTTGGGTATCGGTGCAGGAAAAGGGAGCTGTGCAGGCTTTGGTGAAGGGGCGCGCCACAGGGCCGCTGGGAGGGCGGGGTGGGCGAGGGGGCGGCAAGGCTGGCGAGGGGGCTGAATGGGAGGTGGATGGTGGGTAGCGTGAGTGGACACCTGGGAGATGGGCGCGTGGAGGTTGGTGTGAGGGGTCCGTGGGAGGGTGGTCGGGCAGGGCGCGGGTCGTGCACCATCCGCTGCATACGGGTCTGACGCTCAAAGCACTGAGCGTCAGACTACCGTACACACTTCATGACGGCACAACATGCTTCGCCAGCAGCAAGGAAAAAACTCCTGTGGAAAGGGAAAAAACCCCGGAGCGGCAGAGCGGGGGCTCGAACCCGGGCCACGCCGCACCTCGAGGAAGCAGGACCACAGCACGTCGATCCACTCCAGCAGGACCGCCTGGTCGTATGCCGCCAGGTATAGGTCAGCGTCCAGGTCCAGCAGGCCGCCAGAGGAGGATCCTTTAGGAGGGGGGCCGTGGCCGCGGAGTTGTTGGAGTGGCCGTTGGTGTGAGTATTCGTGAGTGTGTGGCTGTGTGCGTGCATGTGTTGACGTGGGTGTGCACGAATAAGAGTGTGTGTGTGTGTGTGACTGCGCGAATTATGTGCGTGTGTGTGGGGAGGGGAAGATTGGCAGTTTCCCTGTGAAATGGGAGGGGGGGCAAAGAGCAAACGGGCAGCACTGTGAGCGTCCCACGCGCAATCAGTCGCCGTTCCGAGGTGTCTTGTGCCCAACGAGCCCGGGATTGCCAGACAACGCTTTCACTCCCGCCAACATGCACCAATGAGTGTGCGCATGCGCTTGCCGGGGGCGCAAACGCAAAAGCCGATCGCCAAACCCGCCGTGAATAATAATTTTGGGGGCCGGCGTTCGTGCAACAAAGCCGCCTCCTGACATTGGATGGCGTCCTGAGGCGCTCCAAGGGGGCGCCGCCCCCCCCGCTCACCTGCGCTGGCGCTGCCGGCGACGATCATCTTTTTCAGGGCAACACGCCGCAGCTCAAACGCCTGCACCAGCGCGGTGCCCAGGTAGTCCCGCAGGACAGCCACCTGCGCAGGCGGCGGCGGGGGCACGCGGCACGGTTGCGAAGCAGCTAGGTTGGTACACCGCACGGCACGTGGGATCAGGGAGGGGTGAGGGCGTGCTCGCGCCCGCGCAGGGGAGAGCGGGCGTGATGTCACAACGGCGGGCCGGACGGATGAGCGCGGGGCGGCGAGGTCACAAGGGAACATTGCTAGAACAACACCACACGCAGCGCGCGCCCGCTCCGCCACGAGTTCCGCCCCCCCATTCCAGGACACCTTGTCAGCGTGGCGCCCCTCCAGCTTCGGCCGCTGCGCCCCCACCGCCGCCTCCACCTTTGCCGAATCGTCCTGCGCCTGCCAGCTGCCGCCTCTGCTGTTGCTGCTGCCACCCGCCGCCTGCCCTCTCCGACGCGCCGCCCCCCCCGCCGCGCCGCCCGCCGCCGGTGTTCCAAACAGCCGCGCGTGGGCGGCCAGGGCTAAGTGGGTGCGCAGGGATACCTGACAGCAAAGGATGTGAAAAGGGCATGAACAACACACACATTAACCAGTGCCGAGTTGTGTCGGGGAGCTGAGTTGCGTGCCAGGCCTGCATTGCTTTGGTCTTTTTGGCTCGTCCATAGGCCCCAAAACTTCCAACAAAAGATGTCATCCGCAGCATGATCTGCAGAATTCATCCGCTTCTCAGCTCGTGGCCACAGCCGACACCGCCGGTCACCTGGAACTCTGCCCTGGGCCAGGGCAGGGGCGCGCTGCTGAGGAGGTGCGCGGCCAGCTCCTGCAACTGCCGCTGAGTCAGCACGGCCACCTCTGGCACAGATAACGCCATCTGCTGCTGCTGAAACTGCTGCTGCAAAGGGTTGCTGCCGGTCAGGGGGCCGCCTGCGGGATCGGTGAGGCCTGCGCCGTCGCCCCCCTGCAGCAGCTGGCTGAGGGTTGATGCGGTGACGTCATAGCTGACGCCGTTGACCACCTCCCTGAATTCCACCTGTTGATGTGTGGCATGTGGTGGGAGTCATCAGTATGGGTGAGCGGTGTGTGTCTGGAGGTCGCGGGTCAGCCGTGTTCGCGCGCATGCGAATGTGGGTTCACACAAGGTGCAGGTCTCATTGTGGATGACGTGAAGTCATTAGATGGGCAGAGGACGGCCACTGTGGGCGCGTGTTGTGCGAACCTGCCCTCTGCGGCGCGCAGCAGAGCCCCTTGGATCCGGGATCGTGAAATTGACACACAAACGAACGCGCGCGCGCGCGCACACACACACACACACACACACACACACACATACAACACAAACCCCCCACCCCACCTGCATCTTGCCAACGATCTCCGGCGGGTTGACCAACCGGTTGACCGCTGACATCAGCGCCGTCAGTGGGCTGACGCGCGCCTGCTGCTGCTGCTGCTGGCCGCTGCCGCCGCCGCCGAGGCCGCCGCCGGCAGGGCCGGGCGGCCCGAGCAGCGGCCCGCCGCCCGCGGCCGCGACGTCGTCCGGCGTGAGCGTCTCTTGCAGCCAGTCGGAGGGACTTTTGCTGGGGTCGATGAAGCGCGACACCTGGTCATCCACCCATTGCTGGGTTTCGCAATTTGTACAAGGAAGGAGATGCGAGGTTCTAGGCTCAGAAGTCGTGGGGCTATGGGGAATGGGTGGTTGCGTGCTGATGCCCAGCAACAGATCGCAGTTCTTGTCAGCAACGGACGGGCCGTTGAGGGTGGCCCCGAACTCGGGCTACCCAGCCGCCTGCCGCCGCGAGCACCAAAAAAGAGCCAGGCCGATGCGAACGGCCAGTGGACGCATGTCCCTGCAGCGATTGCCGCGGCCCAAACCCACCTGTATGTACAGGTGCACCGCCCTCTGCCGCTGCTGGGGGCTGCCCGACAGCATCAGGCGCCGAAGCCCGTACAGGTTTCGGCGGTACCCCTCCAAAACCTTCAGTTGGCAAAGTGCAGGAAGCGTGGGTGGGATTGGGTGGGGTGGAGGACCCTGAAGGTGGGGTGGGGCTGGCGAGCTTGATGCATGGGGTCAGGTTGGGTGGGGGCCGTCGAGCATGTCCGGAGAAATAAACCCTGGCACGCTCCGATGCAGCACCTCATCACAGTTGCCCCGCCCTGGACCGTCTCAGGGCTGCTCGGTGTGCTGTCCAAGGCAGAGGACGCATGGGGCAGCCGACACGGACTCAGCTCCGAATACACAAGCGGCTTCTCAACGGCGCGCCCACCTCGTCAAACTGCTGCATTTCCCGCCGCAGCATCTGCCAAAACCGCTCCTGAGAGGATGAGTGGGTGCGCGGGTCCCCAAATGGAGGTGGGTTTGAAAGCCTTGACATGATGCGGCGGGGGAGAGGAGCCACGAGATGGTCTACACAGCGTGGCAACGCCCTCGAGTGAAGATGGAAGCCAGCCACCTTAGGAGGCCACGCGAGCCACCGCACGGGCTCACTCAAAGTGCCAGCTGGGCAGTCCGGCTTGCCAAGTCCGCAGCCCGCACCTGGTTCTTCTGGATGGACTGGATTGTGGTCTGGAGCAGCGGCATGTCCATGTAGGTCAGTCCGGCAGATGCGGGAAGTACAGTCCAGAGCCGGTTGACTGGAGGGGAGGAGGAAGGCGCGTGGAACGCACATTTTGGCGCAAAGCCACTGGCGTTGAAGAGCCAGGGTTGAGAAGTGGAGTGCAAATGCAGCGAAGGCTGCTGGTTCAACACCGCTACAGCACAACTCCCAGGGGAAAAGCGAAACCTCGCGCCTCCTGCCCTATATCCGTGAGAAACCCTCCCCCAAAGAACCCACGCGGCTGCAGGCTCGTGCCCCGCCCAACGGCTTGGGCGCCGGTCAAAAAATACAGCATGCTGCTGCTCATGCGATACAAAAACGCTTCCTTTGCTGCTCGACAGCAGGAAACGACAGCACAAAACGAGGGCAGCAAGGGGCCTGGCGGCGCGTCCACTCACGGCCGCTGTCGCCGAGCTGCCGCAGGGCCGGGTCAGTGACGTCGAACATCATGCGGGTCGTCCCCGGGTCGCCCTGGCGCCCCGCGCGGCCCCGCAGCTGCTGCTCTATGCGGCCGCTCTCCTGTAGGGACGTGCCCACGACCAGCAGGCCCCCCACCGCGCGGACCTGTGACGAGGGTTTCGGGTGTAGGGTTTAGCGTTCAGGGTTTAGGTTACGAGGTTTAGTTTACGAGTGTTACCCATTACAAGTGTTGAGGGCGCGAGTTTGAGAGTGCATGATTGCAAACGTGCGGGCGGGGAGTGCGGATGTGTGGAGATGCGGATGCTCGCAAGCAAAGCAGGCCGTGTATCCAGCCGGCTTGGGGCGCCCCCCTCTGCTGCACCAGGCGACCCCTCCGACAGCGCTCCACCCCGCCCCACCTCCTCCGCCATGACGGCGCACTGCTGGTCAAACCAGAGCCACAGCAACAGAGCCGCCTTGACGCAGAAAGGCTGCAGGGGGCCGGCCAGGGGGTCCGCCCCGCCCTGGTCTGTGTGTGTGTGTGTGTGGGGAGGGCGGGTGGTGGGCAGGTCGGGATCAGAGGTTGACAGGCGGTTGGGTGACGTGGGGGTGTGCGAACCACGAACACGTGCCCCGTCAAGGGCCAGGGTTGCGGCGTATGGGCAGGAAGTGAAAAGCTATGTGCCCGGGATTCATGGGC